ACTCAGGAAGCTGAGGCAGGAGAATTGCCTGAACCCAGGAGGCAGAGGTTGCAGTGAGCCGAGATCGCGCCACTGCACTCCAGCCTGGGTAACAAGAGCGAAACTCTGTACCAAAAAAAAAAAAAAAAAAAAACTGAAACACAAATACCTGTTCGCCTAGGCCTACACGAGGTCAGGATTTTCACTATCATCATCTTCTGCCTCCACATCTCATCTCACTGGACGGTCTTCAGGGGCAATAACACACATAGAGCCGTCATCTCCTATGATAACAAGGCCTTCTTCTGGAATCCCTCCTCCAGGACATGCCTGAGGCCGTTTTACAGTTAACTTTTTTAATAAGTAGGAGTACACTCTAAAATAATGATTAAAAATTATAGTACAGCAAATACATAAACCAGTAACATAGTCACTTATTATCAAGTATTATGTACTATACATGGTTGTATGTGCTATACTTTACAGGACTGGCAGTGTAGGTTTGTTTAGACCAGCATCACTACAACCATGTGAGTAATGTGTTGCTCTGTGACATTACAACAGCTATGATGTCACTAGACAATAGAAATTTTTCAATTTCATTATAATCTGGTCCGTTGTTGACTGCAATGTCATTATGCAGTACCTGACTGTATATTATATTTCAACACAAAGGTTTACTTAAAAAAATAAATAGCACCTGGGCACAGTGGCTCACGTGTGTAATCACAGCACTTTGGGAGGCCGAGGTGGGCGAATCACCTGAGGTCAGGAGTTCGAGACCAGCCTGGCCAACATGGTGAAACCCTGACTCTACTAAAAATAGGAAAAAATTAGCCAGGCACGGTGGCAGGCACCTGTAATCCCAGAAAGTCAGTAGGCTGAGGCAGGAGAATTGCTTGAACCCAGGAAGCGGAGGTTGCAGTGAGCCAAGATCGTGCCACTGCACTCCAGCCTGGGCCACAGAGTGAGACTCGGTCTAATAAAGTAAATAAATAAATAGCCCCTCTGACCCTACTGCATGAGAGACTTCCAGGGAGAGCCCAGAAACTGAGCACTTCTGTGGTGTCTTCTGCAGATCCTTAGTTATTAGGTTTTCCAAAGTCCTAAAACCTGATGTCAGCAACCAGAGCTGTGGGGACACAGGAAAAGAGGGAGGTGGCTTAGTATCACTGGGCACACAGGAAGCCTGCAAAGGGCTGGCCCTGGCCCTGCCTGAGCAGACCAGACAGACCACTGTCTATACTGAGCTGAGGTCGGCTCCCCACAAGCCTTCCAAGAACCTTGATCTGCTCAGATAAACCCCGTCCTAAGCCCTCTAGAATAAAAAGGGGAGAGCATCTTACTGTAGGTTAGGGCAGGGGTGGGTGGAGGGGCTGAATTGGGCCCATATTAGACTGGGCATTGAGTCCCAGCTTCACAGTCGCTCTACATTGTTTGAGCTCTCCCAGATTGTCAGCTCCCTGCTGGCCAAGCTCAGCAACACTCAGGGCATGGCTTCGCACTTGAGAAGTTTCCAGTGATGTTCACCTGAGCGGGGTGGGAAGGCAGGAGTTAATGGCCCCACCTGCACCATGTCTCAGGGAGGAGAGCTCCCCACCCAAATGTCTGGATGAAAGAAGAGGGATTCATTGGACCATTCAATGCCAGGAGGCCCTAAGAGGCTGCAGAGAGCTGAGATCACACCACAAACTCCTTGGGGAATAGAGTGAGACTCCGTCTCAAAAAAAAAAAAAAAAAAAAAAAAAAAAAGGAAAAACTATTCTTAGCTCATAGGCTGTTCAAAAATGGGTAGTGGGCCAGAGCTGGCCTTCAGGCCACAGTTGGCCAATTCCTTGTTCTAGAATGTGCCCTCCTGGGGCTCAGACTCCCCAGAGTCACTGAGGCTGTAAGTCCTGTCCCACCATATAGGTGTTATGAATGGCAAACTGTTCTGGTTTGCTCAGAAATGAGGGTTTCCTAGGATTTAGGTTTTTTGGTGCTAACACCAGGACAGTCCCAGGCAAACCAGAACAGGACAGTTGGTCATCCTAGGTAGTAATCTTTAACCCAGAGAGGCCAGGCTTCAGGAGCCAGCTGGCCAGAGTTCATGTGTGGCCCCCCCAAGGGAGTGCTCCAGGCACTGCCTTGTCCTTGTGGTTTGTGGCAGGGCCTTGTCCCATTTGGGCAGGCCCTCTGCAGGGAGATGCCCCCTCCTCCATGCAAGAAAACCTCTGTGGTCTGGGAGCTCTCAAAAGGCAGGAAGTTGAATCATCAACTCCGGTAACGTCTCTGTCGTCCTGTGGGTCTGCCCGGGGAGCTCAGGGCTCCAGACCCAGGGAGCTGGCTCTGTGCTTTGTTTGCTGCTTTCTCTGAAGAGGAAAGCTCCAGAATGAGGCTTCTAGAGAAATGAGAGCTGTTGAGTCAGATGGGGAGGAGAGCTGGATGTCAGGTTGACCAAGACTCTCACCCAGCTCTGGCCTGGTCTTGCTTTGTGGCCTTCAGTGACCCTTTGTATTTTGGCTTTGGCTTCTACTACAGAAATGCTGATTCTTGAAATCCTCTTAAATTAAGAGTATGAATGATGACCAAAGTGGGAACACCCCGGGTTCCGGACAACTCATTTTAGCTTCACTACCACAGATGCAGGTTGCTCAGACACACATCCCTGCCTCCTGCTTGCCTGGGAGAAGGACCTGACCAGCCTCCCCAGTTCTGGCCATGGGAGCTTTAGGAAGGTGACAAGTCTGGATTTAGGGAGATGGAGGAGAGGGGCAGAAAAGGAGGTTCAGCTTAAAGATGGTTACCCACAGATCACAATGATAAGCATACAACCTGTTGTCTATTAAGCACTCACGATGTGCCAGCCCTTGAATGATCTCATTTGATCCTCACAATGACTAAGGATTATCATCATTTCCATTGTATAAGAAAGGCAAATGAAGCCCAGAGAGGATAAGTACCTTGCCCAAGCTACATGTGTACCCAAGCTCACACAGCTACCATGTGGTACAGTTGGCATTAACTCTAACTATGTTAGACTGTGGCTTTGAGGATTGAGGGCTCAGGAAGCTCACAGGTAGCAGGGGAAGGATGGGAGGAATGAAGGGAACAGGTAAAAAGATGCCCACCTGGGCACTGTGTTGTAGACCAAATGAGCCCAGAGAAGTCTAGAGTAGGGTGGGGGAAGAAAGTGTTCTTTCTTCCTGGTGCTGCATAGGGACATCCAGAGAATGTTAAGAAGTCTGGGGTTTGCCAGGCTTGGAGACCATGTTCCAGAACCAAGGATCATGAGGACACAAACCCCAGACTGAACCCTGAACCCCTTGAGACCATTTGGAGAATCTGTCGAGGGCTTGAGGAGGAAATTGGATACATAGCAGGATTTTGCTACAGAGCAGAACTGAGCATTTACTCTCTGAGCAAAGACAGCCCTGCTCCAAGGATGCCCCTGGTGTCTTTGTACACTCCTCCCCAGCCCAGCATGGGTGTCATGTTCAAGGTTCAGACAGGGGACCACAAACCCCATGCTGCACCAAAGCATAGTGTACCTCTTCCCCTTTGAGGGAGGGGACAATGGGAGCTTGGCAGAGTTTGACAGCCCTTAGCAGAGGACCACACTTATAAAGGGCCAATAGGGTCACTGATGGGCTGTGCTCCTGGAGTGGGGTCAACCTCCAACTTGCTGTCCTCAGTAACACAGCTGGTAGACGTCTCTGAGGAAAGAGGTCGACCTAGCTGCCCAGGCAACTGACTGGACCCCTAACCTGGGCTCAGGTCAGGTCTAAAGACGCCTTCTCTCCTATTAGCATCAGATTTATTTATTTATTT